AACACTCTTATTTATTACATTAGATGAAACCTAATAGTTTCAAACTACTTTATCAAACAACCTCAAAAGTCATAACCTATTAACAAAAATACCTTTAAATTTATCATAATAACCAATAATATCAAATCTAAATTTTCTCTTCATAATTAATTCATTAAATCTTTTAGAAATATTCTAACTTATGTCCTAAGGGTGCAATTAGGATAATGATAGAGGGGACGATTTTATGAAACGAAAACGAAGGACGATAGGTGTAACAAGGTCAAATTGGTTATTTTGTATCCTGCACTTTGACCTTGCCACACCTATCATCTTCCGTTTTTGTCTTATAAAATCATCCCTTTTATCATTATCCGTGCAATTAATGTACTCTTTTCATTCTAAAATAACATTTGTTTTTGACTTTTTAAAAAAGAATTAAGAAATTAAGTATAATTTATGTATTTATTTATATTACTCTTTAAAAAAGTTAAAGATAAAGTAAGATTTTTTTATAATAAGTTCAATAATCAAAATAAATAGATAATGATATGGTTCAAGAAGAAAATAATATTTGTTTACTCTAAAAAAAATTATAATTTAAAACAAATTCAAAGTTAAATAACAACAATTATTTAAAGATGAATGAGTTGTTTTTTTGTCATTAATTTGTATATAAAACAAAAATGAATTTAAAATTTATAAATCATTCAGTTAAATTATTTCACATATTTAAAAGATTCAATCCTTTAATATCTCTAATAATATGCTCGGCATATATCCTAACGTAGTTCTATTAATATTTAAGCAAAGTATTTATTCTCACAATATAAAAAGTGTGTGACCTCAACGAAAATGTGTGGGCAATAACGACTGCCATATTAATTAGTAAAGGCATCACACACACAAGATAAAGATGCTCCTAAATGCAAATTGCTAACGGCATCATAGACGTGTTGAAGTCTAATTAGAAACATGTGGACCAAATCTTGACTTTTTTTTGGTGTACGTACGAGAATTTCATTTTGTCCTGGCATGGCATGATGGTCTCCCAATCAAATACGGAACAACAAAACTACAACCTCTGTATAAAGATCCGTCGAAACCCCATTCTGGTTGTGGCCATGGCTAAGTACCTGAAATATGATGTGTATGAATTGGAGCTTAGCAATATTTATAGCAATTCACAGCTGAGGAATGTTTTCCTAAACATATCTAACAAATATATCATCGTGATTGAGGATGTCGACTGTTATGAAGAGGTCCACGCTCGATCCAACACAATAGTAGATGTCAACCTTCCTCAATTGGGTGCCCAAAAAAATAAGGTCAGTATCTTTTGCATAATGAAATTTTTAATAAAATAGCTCGAACTAATTAACAAACAACTATACTTTGAATGTCACATTCAAGAGGTTGTGATTGTTTATTCTTTCGGTCGAAACTGAAAATATATAGGCTTTAATTTACATATTAGTATTTTTCTTTTTGAGTGGGGAACTGATTCCTTTTTTTTTTTTTTTTGTCAGCGTGAATCGTCTACACTTTGTGGTCTGGCTGCGGGGAGGAGAGGATCATCATATTCACTACTAACCACAAGGATAAGATTGACCCTGCATTGCATCGTCCTGGCCGTATGGATATGCATATTGAGTTGTCCTACCTAAAGCCGTCGGCTTTTTCCGTGCTGGCCTACAACTACCTAGGTCTCCGTGACGGCGACTACCCTCTTGAAGAAATCCAGAACTTGATGGAGTACACAGAGGTGACTCCTGCTTCTGTTGCGGAGGAATTGTTGAGGAGCGACGATGTAAATGTCGCCCTTGGTGGAGTTGTTGAATTACTTAAGCGGAAGAGGACGGCGGAGGTCAACGACGGTGAAGACGAAGGTGCAGCAAAGAGGAGAAAATTATCTGACTCTTGAAATGTTCCTCTGATTTTGGGTTCTGTATAGTCATTTGACGCCTTTGGGGACTGTTAATTCAGGGGTTCTGGGCGCTTTAGGGTTATTTGACATAATGATTTGAAATTAGTGTTTTAAGAGATTTATTTAGAGCAATGCTAGGGGCACTCGCTTTCTGCACTCTCCGGCCAACACTTTCTCTTTTATTGGGCACGTTGTTTTGGTTTTCGAGAGGTTGGCCTGAAAGCTTTAAAGAAGCTTACGTGGCCCAATGAAAGAGGAAGTGTTGGCCGGAGAGTGCAGAAAGCGAGTGCCCCTAGCACTGCTCATTTATTTAACTTAATAGACAAGAAAATTTAAAATTTTATTAAAAAAAAAGACAAGAATATTTAAATTATTAATAGTAATAATTATTAACAATTAGAGTAAAGAAAACCATTAACAGTAATTTTAAATGACAAAATCTTATATTAAACCTTCAAATTTATCATAAACTTTTTATTAAATCTTTAAATTTTTTTCGAGAGAAATAAACCCCATTAATAAACGAGCTGCTCTGACCCAATGGTATTAAATCTTAGATTGTGGCTGTTCACCTCTGTGGATTGGGACTGTTCACCTGGATTGCACGTTCGGATTCGAGACCCATGGAACCCCTTTCCCTTCTCTCCCAATTAGCCCTATAAATAATTACAAATTGTTAAAAAAAAAAAAACCCCATTAATTTGTTAATTTAAACAATTTAATTATCTTTGTTAGGACAAAGTTAGTGTATCTTTGTGTCTTGTTAGATAATGTGAATACTTATCATGTAAATAATAATATATTAATATTTTATTTAGATAAATGAAATATAAATAAATATTAAATCTACAGTAAAAAAATTAAATTACTCAAATAATTTTTTTTTGAAGATATACAATATTAAATTACTCAAATAATTTTTTTTTGAAAGTTTTTACATCTTGTATATAATTAATTAAATTACTCAAATAAAAAAATGATAACACAAAGGGCTTTTTTATTAATTAAAAAGTGATAACACAGAAGGTGTTTTTTTATTAATAAAAAAAGATAACACAAAAGGTTTTTTTCTTTTCTTTTTTGGCAAAATCCTACACCTACATCTTGTATATAATTATTTTTTAGAATCAATGCCTTTTAAAATTTTGATTCTCAATTAATATCTTCTATAATTAATGATCAAATCACGTGCAAATAAAAAATTTAGTTCTTAACTTTTAATTTTTTTTTTAATTTTAAACTCTATAAGTATTGACTAGAAATAAAAATTTTAAAAATTGTTGACTTAAAAAATAATAATGTACAAATAAATTACTTTGAAACCATATCTTGATAAGGCATAATTAATTAAAGAAACAAATATAACATGTCACTCGACTATATTTTGACCCCCCCCCCCCCACCATCATTTCTAAGTTCTAACATCATTTTTTGTTCCGATTAACCAAAACGTTTTTCTTAATAAGCTACTTGTAACAAGCTAAAGACAAATTAAAGGCATCAAAAAGCTTAAACCATCGCAACCTTTTTCCTAGAAAGAATGTTTTGTTAATTAACTATCAAAATCACAAGCTGCGGTAATAACTTAGGGGGTAGCCCTTCATTAAAAGAAAAAAAGAAAAAAAGAAAAAAAAAAAAGAAGAGCAAACAGACAAACTTTCGGCGTGGCCCTGGTCCAAACAGCCTGACACATGACTCAGGGTCCATGGTAGCCCGATGTGAACCCAAGGTCCCACACTAACCAACTAAGCTAACTTTTCATCTTTCTTTTTTTTTTTTGAACTAAGAAAAAAAAGAGCTTCATCTTTGTGAAGAAAGAGAGAGAAAGAAGAAAGTAAGAAAGATAAGGAGAAAAAGAAAAAAGAAAAAGAAGAAGAAGAAGAAAATGGATCCAAGCCAAACTCTACTCGAAAAATAATAATAATATAATTATGATATTACGTAGTATTATAATTTATAATTAT